ACTTCGCGAATTTACAGCACTAAGCTTCTTCAAATTTGAATCAATCTCTCTTACAGAAGAACCTCTCGCTTTCATATACATGAGGCTTAAAGTTCTAGAAACTTCTATTAGGAGCTAAATTAAGTAGTTTGACACAGTTTCTAATCTGAGTAATTATATAAAGGTCAGAATATTCTGGAATGTTCTTGTACAAATTGGTCACGGCTGAATGACTTCGGGTTCTAGATTGTTCTAGAAATTGACTTAGGCAATTTTTCGTAACACCGACAGAGGTTATTAGTTTATCCATTCACTACAGTCCGACTAAAAGCAGTTTGGTATGTTGTGAGCACTGTAATAATTATTACTATGAAGTTAAAAGAAAAACTGCACAGATGATTCTTTTCACTTCAGTTGAAAGATATTGTTAGGTATTGTTCATACAACACTATATAAACAAGACGAAATGACAACATTTCAGTAGGATCAGGAACAAAAACAGTCTGTTAGCCCTTTTCACTTAATGCGAAAACTGACTCGCCACACGCATACACAGCTAAAAACAAATTCATTGTGTAGAACTGATTATATAAAAAACTGGATTTGTACCTGAAACGCCAAACGCGTCTTTCAACAACTGTTCCACGCCTTGCTTGATAAGGAACGAAAATGGAAGTTGGCACAAGAACTTGTGGCCGCCAGCACCAGAGCCAAGAACTTGCACTCGCTCACGAACCGAATTAGTAACTGGCGAAATCATCTTACTATAACTTAGCTCTGAAATTTTTGGGTCAGCCATTATCTTCAACCACAGCTTAGAAACCCAAGTGTCGTCATTTCTCATCAAGTCCAGGTTGCCGTCCCTGTCTGCAAATGCGATGATCTCAGCCAGAATAGGTACGACAGCAGAGTAAACTCTTTTCAAAAGAGCCTTTCTGAAGGTGCCCCATTCTTGCACACCTGTCCCGGATAAAGCTTCTGCGTGGAGCCACTCGTGTGCGTTGTATGCTATTCTCTCTCTTTCTTTCAGTAAGTGAAACGTTCTTTGTGTCACAACGCTTGCAAATGTCTCTTCAGCTTCAAACAATGACAGCAAAGAAAGATAAATTAAGACTTGAAAGTGTTTGTATTTTTTTAAATTGAAGGTGTTTGCATTCCTTTTTTTTTTGGTCCGTATCTAACTTCTGCTTTCCCTTCAACGAAGTTCGCACAAGTTACACAGCAGTTATAAGCGACACGTATTTTATTTGGTGCTTAAATCAACAAACACAAAATTTGGAAGTTATCTATGCTGCTAACAGGCCAATCAACAACATCTTAAAGATCAAAAGTATAATATATGAGAATTCCATCTGGAATAAAACGCGAAAATATTCAAACTTGTTTGTTGCATTTGTTACTAAATGGATCAGATATGCCCAGGATTGAACGCTAATGAGATTCAAATTCCTCATGGTAAGCATCACAAAGTGTCCTCATTGGTAAAAAGTCACGAAAACACACACAATTCTGTCAAATATGAAGTAATATGATAATGTCAGATAACCCTGCCAAATATGAAGTACTAATTAAACAATACTTGCGTTCAATCCTGGACATGTGTGAAATGGATGGAGAAATAATAATTGCTTTGTTATTACCTTGACGATGAAAGGAGCGTATGAACCAAAGTTCATGGATTGAAAAAGGTCCACAATCAGTGTCATTTAAACTAACCTCCAGCGACGTGAGAATTGTCAGGTAGCAAATCCAAAAGAAGCTCAATTCGTTGAGTTGATCGTTCGGTTGATTCCGTTTCGTTGTCAACTCTGCACGCAGCTGCTTGTACGCAATCTCGCAAGATCTTCACAGCCAAGGCTTGCGTGACCTCAACCCCTTTGTCTTGATCTTTATTTCCGCTTCTGAACAGTTCGCTAATTGGGCGATCAATAAGTTGCTCGATAGAAGGAGTGTGCCTGAGTTCGTCAATGTGGCTAGACATCCACTTTCCACCCTGGAAACCGACAAAGTTACGGCAACCACCGACCATTCTCGGCAGCTGTATGACCAAGACGATATGGACTGCTTCGATTGATGGCAGATTGAGCATTTCTGGCGCGTTAGTCCGTTCTTCCAGCAGAATATGCCTTGCGCCGGCAATCAGGTTGAAGTTGTCATCTCCTGAATCACTCTGAACCAGGAGAATACCAGGACAGTCTCCTCCAAGGCGTTCAAAAAAGGCTCTGTCAGAACGTGAGTTTGATAGTTTTAAATAGAAGTTACAGTAATTATATGTTAGTTTCATTTTACTTCAGTCATAATTATAACAAAAGCCAGCAAGTAGAGTCAAGGTTTAGCGTCAATAATGTAGGATATTCTTAGGGAGATCAATAGGGAGAATTGGCTAATATGTTTACATCTTTGTTGCCGCCCAATTCAGACCACGTGATGATTCATTTGGAAGTTGCAATTGTGCAATTTGTCACAGGTACCTGACTGCATAGGAGTGTATAAACAGAACAATTGTAACCTCCCAAATGAATAATCACATTATCTGAATTGGGTGGCAACAATGGTGTAAACACGTTAGCCGAATCCGTCTATTGACCATCTTATATCAATGTTGCAAGTGAACATATGGAAGATCACATATTTGAACTGCGAAGAAAGATATGAAGACATGATTGATCATCGCAGTTATATACACAACTTCAGCAGTTGTGAAATTAAAGCCCGAAAAAAGATTCAGGCCTGAACAGGATTCGAACCCATGACCTCTGCGATACCGCTGCAGTGCTCTACCAACTGAGCTATCAAGCCAACTGGGAGCTTGTCATGTATAACTGCGATTATCAATCATGTCTTCATATCTTTCTCCCCAGTTCAAATATATGATCTTCCATATATTCACTTGCACTCTTCACCATCTAGGGGTATATAACGAACTCACAACATGATAAGCTCTCAGTTTGCTTGATAGCTCAGTTGGAAAAGCAGTTGTGAAAACAAAGCCTGGAAAAAAATTTAGGCTTGAACGGGATTCGAACCCATGACCTCTGCGATACCGGTGCAGTGCTTTACCAACTGAGCTATCAAGCCATGATCAGCTCCCAGTTGGATCAATGTTGGGGTACATATGCGTGAAAATTCCCGGAAGTTCCATTTTAAAGACATAGAATTATCAGAACTTTGAATATATGTTAACTATTCAGAGCTGATCGCCTTAAAATAATATCGCATATCGCCTCAGCTACAGATTAGACTTTGTTTTCCTGTACCCGGGAAGAGACTAGATTGGGGTTCAAAACTTCGGAACAGGGTTTGATGAAAGAACTTAAGAGCAAGTGCCCACAAAAATCAAACAAAATCAAATTTCTTCGGCAAGGCTAGGAAAATGTTTTGACGAGTGCCTTATCATTTGCCCAAACTAAACTTAACATATATTGAAAAGAAGTTAAGACGGAAATTTTCAAACGCTCTTTTTCGAGAACTGGAGCGATATTATGGAATAAAATTTCTCCAGACTGGAGAGATTTATCTAAATCAATCTTAAAGAAAAAAATTCGTAGATTTGTATTTGAGACTCTTTCAGGTAGGGATGACTATGTTGAAGTCGACACTCTGACTCAAGTTCTTAAATTTAGTTCCTGATTAATTTCAACCCATAGTTTAGTTTATCTCTAGTAAATCATAGCTCCTAGTGTCAATAAAAATATGTAAATGTACTTATATTAAACGGTTATGTAAATCCTTCTATAAGTAGTTGCATAACAATCTTATTTATGTATTAATGGTCTAACATAAATATAGATGTGGCCCGCCTAGATTAGCCCAGGCTACCTCCGGGTTCGCGCTATTGCTACTGTCAAGCATTTTTAACTTAATGAGTATATATTTCTGTAAAATTGTAAATATGCGAGTCATAATAAAGTTTTGTTGTTGTTGTTGTTGTTGAAAGAACTATCGTAGTATAGCTAGAATCTAAAATCTTTTGGAATTCCGAGACAGAGCACATGATCGAAATGGCAATTCTTTCCACCGACTGACGAACTCATCGTTGCAGAACACTTTGGTTTTGTTAACCGCCAAATAGTTAGATTAATCCTATATTCTTGAAACTGGGCTTTTTTAGACCATGAATAGTTCATCATTAAGTTGGTTCTGTTACAAATTTCCTGGGCTTAATGGTTGCGAAATGCGAATCGAATGAAAATGGTCAATTTTCAGCCTAGTTAGAGCTCGTTAGATTGATGTCTGGACGTGAAATCGATAATGTCCTTTTTCTCAGAAATACCAAGATATTTGAAGAAAAAAACTACATAGCGTTTTTACTTTTATTAAGGTCTACTTATATGCAACAGTAGGGCAAATTCTATTTTTCAAGCCTTACCGAACTATTTTTGTGTACATTTACTCGCGCGCGCTACCATTGCCTGGCAGACCGTCAGTATTAATCGCGCGTGCAAAAATGACGCAAGTAACCCTAAGAAGAAACGAAAACCACTTCAGCACTTGAAAGGAGTTAAATCACTTCGGCATAAGTAGCAATAGTTTCAAACTCTGTTCAAACATGTGTTTAAGCCTAGGGCCAAAACAATATGACAAAAAAGCTCTATAAATAAACGGTAAAAGAGCTCTTATTTACCCTCGCGTTCTCGCACGCGATACATGCGTCACATAAGCGCGCTTTAGTAAATAACCACGAGTGTGTTTCTGATTTTTGTGACGTCAGCATGACCAAATAAATGCTAATTTTCTCGCGTTCCCTTCGGTGAATTTTCTTTTAATTTGAATATTTAGAATAATGATAAGTTACAGAATATTGGACGTCTGAGCAACCTTGACATTTTACCAATTCAAAATGTCAGGCAATATCATTTCCATCACCTGGCGAAGTATGAAAAAATTTCACCGAAGGAAAGTAAGAATATTAACGAGTTTAGGTCAAAATGGGGAATACATCTGCCTGTCATTAGATGAGATGTTGCCATGGTAACGGCCTTAATCCAAAAATTGACAACCAAAACATAATCCTTCTAACAGTACCCATACTGGTAAATCTCTACTGGGAAAACTTTAAGAGAAATTAACTAAGTTTCCTTTTCTAACTCGCGCTCTATATAGGGAGGGTTCGTAATTACTCTAGGGAGCCACCTTAAGCGTAACATTTCAGCCAAAGTTTAACAAAAACGGTCAAAAGGTGCAAGTTGGTCAGAACGTAGCGTGCAAACCCGTCCATGGCGGACACAGGTCAGTTACAGCCGAAAAGTAATATATGTGGGTTATTGTTTTCAAGGATAAGTGTATTTTCCTCTTTCCTAGAATGAAAAAATCGCTCGATGTGATATGAAATAACACATTCCTTAAAATAGACCGTTACCTTATTGATCCTCGGAACTGTTGCTCCGTTTGGAACTGTTGAAGTGCCATGAAATCCACAGTCCAACGATGGAAATTAGTTCGGTTACAAATGTCAACCAGATCGTGGTTAGAAAGCAGACGAGAATGAGTGGTAATCTTAAACAAAAGATTAGGAGATCAATTAGTCGAATTAGATAATACTATAAAACAAAAAATGTGTATAGCCGTCTTTTAAAGGAGCTATGTCACGATTTGCGCATCTTGAAAGGTTTAGCCTAAATTCTTCAAGTTCGTCCTTTGTAATCTGTGTTAATCTTCTCCATCCTTAACCATCCCTGTTCCTATTTCCCTTATAGTTATCTCTTTGGTGTATTTTTATCTTAGTAAACTATTATTTTCAGGTTTCCTTCCCTGAAAAGGTGCCTTTGTACCGTGACTGCGCTCCTTTAAGTTGAAAAGTTGAGACTCACTTGGATTAAGAGCCCTTCTCGACGTTTCTTATCAATGTGAGCATCATCCAAAGTGAGCACATGCCTCATGAAGGCCGCCAAACTAGAATGTTGTTGCTCGTGAAAGTAAACGTTCCAGATATTGCGAGCTATTCCTTCTAAGGGAGTGGCTGGAAGACGGGCGATTGCATCAGGTGCAGCCATCTCCAGAAGCATCTTTTGACAACCTCGAAGCACCTATAAAATGTAAAATATTTATTTATGTCTACGCTTCCACATTTATATGACATAAGGGTAGTACTGAGTAACTGTATCAAGTTTGTCACGAGCTTTTAAAATTACTAGAAATAGTTTGATTCACTTACATTTTTACACTTTCCCAATTCTTTTGGACGGGATCGCAGTCTTTTTGTTATTATTTGTTTTTGTTGACGCGCTAGGTCAGAAATTGTTTTTGTTTGGAATTTTTTATTTTAAATATGGTAAAGTAAAATGTTGATTTGTAATAAAATCAGTGAACTTTCTGTCTTCCTACTTTCATTTCCCATGTATCCTCTGTGGTTTCATTATGCAAATCACCGTCTTCTTCCATGTCATTGCAGACTTGCATCACGATAGAAGGAATGGTGTCCTCGTGATAGCCAACAAAAGCGTCCCCAACTGAGAAATCCCTAAAATAATAGACCCTGTTGTAAGATGTATCAAGGTCTATTCATATCTCATGATAAATATAAAAGAAAACATTTTACAGAAAAATGTAAAAGGTAAAGCGAGCGAAAATAGTAACAGCGTTTCGACATTGTCAAGATGTCATTGTCGAGTGCTTTCCACAAGCCTTTCTTGCCGCATTTTTAAAAATGTCAAACTCAGGACTACTGTAACCTTTTCGTTATGAGTTACGTCCAGTGAAGGACGCGTTTTCACATCCATACAATGCGTTAACGGATAAGGCAACGGTAAATTCGGCGTTAAACTAGTGACGCTTCTACAGAGGGTTAAACCATTCGCTTCAGATCTAAAGAGCCTTTTTGTGTGGACTCGACGCAATTATATTTTACCTGTTACGCTTGCTTTCCCTCGTGACCTCTGAAAAGTCACTGACCCAGGTTCTCAGTTTATCTACCAGTTCCATCTGATCTGGAGTCAAACACGTTAAAGTCACGAGGTAGTGCTTCTCCAGACGGTTTATCAGCGGAATGGGAAACTTGTTGTAAACCACGTCCTTTTCAGCAATTACTATTAACCTAAGAGAGGGTGGATGGGAATTGCACTTTAAAAAACATAATTGGACCTGAAACTGGACAACGACTCTCTTCGAGAATAAACGCCGAACTAATTCTGTTACAGACTTCAGAAACATAATTAAGAGCAAACGTATTATTTATTTATTTGGTTTTAATTTTCTCGGAGATACTAGCCTATTTTGGGCTACTCAAAATCTGAGAGAAAACAAAGTTTTATGTAAATATGAATATACTATGCAGTTAAATCTTTTTCAGTAGTAGTTGTTGTTGTTCAATTTTAGTGTGTTTTGCGCTAGAAACTTGAATCCTACTTAGCTACGGTTTACCACATATACAATTCTTCGAGTTGTTACGTTATACGAACAGAGCGTACGAGAAATCTCAAACTAAAGAAACAGCGACAGGGTTAAGCAAAATATCATTCAGTGATTCAGGTCACGTGCAGAGCAAACCTTGTAGCTAGCGTTGCTAAAAAGGAATAGTTAATGTACAAATAGGCAATTTTTGTCAAGAAAAGCACAAACTGAATTCCTTACTTGAAGTCATCATGGACACGACATTTGACACGGTGAGTACCGAGTCCAAGATCCACGTACTTCTGTCCTCCAAAGTACACGTAATACTACAAATATAAAGTAACCAAGAGTTGGAATTCGCCTACGTACACCTTTACATCGCGCAGACAAACAAGTCGCTAATGAACCGTTTTGTGTTGTGTCATGTCTCCCAAAGTTCAGTCTCTGCAAGTAAAGAACAGCGTTGCATGGTGTCTGCTAAGAGACAATCTTTAAGGTTCAATTTTGCCAAAACTGAAAGTCTGTAAAGGAAATAATAGATTTACCCAATTCCATCATTTCTCTTAAAATGGCAACAGGTACAAGATGTATTGTAGTTAGATCAGAGACCTAGAGAAGAGCAAACCAAACCAGGTGTTTCATACCTGATTGAGCGCGTCGTACAGACTTTCGTAGAGACTTTCGAGGTTTAACAAAATCACCGTTCGTCCTGTCTCCATGCAAACCTTGATACGGTTGATGTTGCGACAAATCTGAACGACACACGAATTATAAATAATGTCAGTTGAACTGCCGAAAGATACATTTATTACCGTAAACGGTCAGTACAAACTTCAAAAGCTTGTGGGTTCGTCTACAACCTAAAATTTCAAAATGTATAAAAGAAAAGTTTCTAAAAACAGATTCCTAAAGCACGTTAAAAACTAAAAGATACAATATTCAACGCTAACGTTATTTAGAAATATTCAGTAAGAAGTCAATTAAACTAAAATTGTCACTTGATGTTCTCAGAGAGTCCGGCTGTGGTACATTTTACCTGAGTGTATTCCTGGTCATTAGGAAAACTGCTTCCAAAGATAACCACTGCATCATCTGCCGTCCTCAAGAGATGTTGTTGCATGATCGGCAGTGCGGCGTAATTTTCCGTTAGTATCAAAAGGTAACGGTTCTCACTACACAAAGTAAGACATCAGTTTAGTTAACCATCAACAGCAGTTGCCATCACTGCTGCATGCCAAGTTGATCACTCGCTTCTAAAATTCATTGATAACTCATCAAGATAAACCAAAGGAAATCATGACCGTGACCGTGTTTGGATATCTGATCTTAATTAACATAGATTTTTACAATTTTATTTCTCTGTTTTGGTTTAAGTTTATGGTAGCCATAAACTGATGTTAATGAGACCTGAGAGACAATATCTCAAAGTCAGGCACACAAACTCTGCATTGTAACACTTTATTTCAGAGACATGTAACACTATGAACCTCGTGTCATGCTCATACGTAAATCCCAGTAACAT